ACTTAAAAAAGTGCATTTGTTGGCTCTATAGTATTCACTTTATTTAAAATACCTAGAGCCCTGTGAAGAAATAGTTTTAACACAAATTAAGGGCTAGTTATATTATCAAGTATTAAAAGACCTCCTCTGAATCCTAAATTGATTTCAGATATATTATACTTCTGCTGTAAACATAAATACTACTGACTAATTATTTTTGTTTGATATTGTATAGAATTTTTCTTAAGTCTGGAGGGCTGGTCTTGTCAGGCTTAAAAAATCCTGTACTCTGCTTTCTGCAGATACATGATAACAATCTAAAATTGTTGAAGCTAAGTGTTTTACAGGGTGGAGACAAATCAGAGCCTAATGTCCATGTTCTATAGACCATTTAAAGAGTCCATATTTACCTTCTCTGCCATCTGCTGGTACACTCTTCTTCATGTAAAGAATAAAAATGTCATATCCAAGATTATTAAGATATGCAGTAAGATCATGGGTGTTCAACAGAAAAACATGACTGAAATGTATGAAGAGCAGGTAATTAGGAAGGCTGAGTCCATCTTGGATTATTACACCAATCCCCTTCATAGCGAATTCCAGTTTCTACACTCTGGTTCCCGTTTTAAATATCCACCAGCTCGGACCAATAGATACAAACACTCCTTTATTCCCTCTACTGTTCAGCTGCTAAACTCTACTAGGAAAAGCAGATAGTCATATGTTGCATGCATATAGGCCTATGCTCTCATTCATCCCCTGCACTGCTTATTTATTTATTTTCACTTATTTATTTATTTTCTTCTCTCTTTTATCCACCTTACTTTTATCTTTTTGTAATATTTTATTTGTTTCTTGTGTTTCTTTTATTTTTATTTGTGAAATGTGAATGTGTGTATGAAAGGTGTACTGAACGGAACTACTGAACTCAGAGCACAATATCTGCCGGGCGACTTTAGTCCAGCTGCAAAGACACTATAGGACATTCATTAATGGGCTGTTGGAGCTAATTTAGAAGCCTGGTTAAGATCAGCTCACTATGCCATGGATAGTCTAGGCAACAATGAATGATTAGGAGGAAACAACTTACAGTCTTATGAAAAAGGGATTTTTAGTCATTGCTCAGTATTGCTGACTCACAGATGAAAGATTCATAACAGCTGCTATATACTATGATAAAACACATTTACAAGGGAAAGCAGAAATCAAGGTAATTTGTTTCAAGTTGTAAAAGGACAGAAGTTCTGTGGAAGACCCCATTTAGCCCCTTCTGAATATTGACTTAAAATTAGTCATTATTATTATTATTAGTAATAGTAGTAGCAATAGTAGTAGAAGTAGTTGATTAAATATTGTATTTAACATGCTGGTGAAGATTCTGGAATTGTATTTAACACCTATTTATAGTATAATTGTGTAATTTTTAATACTCAAATTAACTTTATCAATGTTGTTCTGCTTTCTCTTAGAAGAGAGAATAAATTTAAGAGGTCTATGTAAAATGCTGTCTGTATTCAAAGCAGAAGCACACGTTTGTTCAATAAGGATGAAAGAACCGTGCTCTTGTAACTCAATCTTCCTGTAGCAGACAGCTTTTCATTAAGGATCAGCGGGGTCCGCTCTTTAAACCAGGAGCATCAGGACAGATGGGATCTTGAAAAGCAAACAGAAATCTACTCAAATCAGGAGCGTGACAAAAAATGGCCTGAGGATTCCTGATTTCAATGAGTTCGGAGAAGCGAATGGCAGCAGTGTGTAAAGAGTAAAAACTCCTGCCCCACCTGTATTCATACTTAACACCTGTGCTTGCACAGTTTCTTTTTTTTTTTTTTATATGCGCCCCTCTGTGTTTGCCAGCTGAGGGCGCGGTGGTGAATTTCATGATGCTGGGGGTCAGAGGTTAAAGGTTAGGGGTACTCCAGCTGGCAGCTAGGGCTTCGTTGGACTCCAGTCAGGAGACATTCAGCGTCTGATGAAGGAGAAAGTCCGGGGGCTGAAGGGGGAAGTAAAGATGTTTGGGCCTCTATGTCTTTATGTTTGAAGATTCATGTTTGATGTTCTCTCCCTCTAGGCTTAATTTCTGGCATGAATCCTCCCAAAACATCTCACAGAAATGCCACTGAGGTTCTTGAAATAATTCAGTTTAATGTGGGAACTGAATAGTATTCCTAAGGAAACAGCAAGGAAATAAGATCAATATATTTTAAAAGAGAAAGCACTGGGTTTAATTTAGTGACATCAAAATAAAGGTGGTAATTTAAGAAAAGGATCAGGCATGTCAAATGCGTAAAAGAAAATTGAAAAACATGCATTACCCTTCCATGTCAATTATGCACCACCTTATTTTAGTTTTCCATCATTTCAATGGAGTTACCGTTATTATTTTTCACGTCATCTATACCAAATTCAATCTAATTGGATTGGAATCTACGTTGCATTTAATGCACCACTACAAGATGAATTGACAGATTCGGCGGTATTCATTGGCGGCAAATCATTGCAGCTTGGTGGCGGTGGCGTTAGCATAGTAGTATGGACGACAAGATGATTGAAAATGAACACAACGGAGATCTAGTCCTATTGGCAGACATCCATTTAAAATGTAGGCAACGGCATGAAAAAAGTGGTTTCTACTTTTACTTTTATACTTTAAGTAAATTTACAAGCATGTACTTTGTTACTTTTACTTGAGTAAAGAGGTTTAATCAGTACTTTCACTTTTACCAGAGTATTTTTTAACACAAGTATCTGTACTTTTACTCAAGTACGGAAAGTGAGTACTTTTGCCATCTCTGACCAATTAACAATACCTAATTCATCTCAAGGCACTTTGCACAGACAATTCAACTAGATCGCAGTCAGATTGGTAAAAAGTTGATAAATTCTTCATTCTTTGCTATCATATTTTCATACAAACTCATTTGCACACATTTAAGTTAAATTTAGCTTTAGATAAAAAACCAGGGAAGTATTAGTGATCCATCCATCTTCTTCCACTTATCCAGGGTTGGGTCGCAGGGGTAGCAGCTTCAGTAGGGATCCCAGACGTTCCTCTCCCCAGCCACTTGGGCCAGCTCATCCAGGGGAATCCCAGGCCACCCGAGAAACATAGTCCCTCCAGTGTGTCCTGGGTGTCCTTCTGGGTCTCCTCTCAGTGGGACATGCCCGGAACACCTCACCAGGGAGGCATCCTAATCAGATGCCGAAGCCACTTCAACTGGCTCCTCTCGATGTGGAGGAACAGCGGCTCCACTCTGAGTCCTCCCCGGATGACTGAGCTCCTCACCCCATCTCTAAAGCTTGTATCCAGGTATTAGTTATATCAGGTTGAAAAGTCAAAAGTGTTTTATATGTATTTTTCCAAACATTTACCCAGAAAGGAGGTTTTGAAATAAAACAGACTGTGGTTCCCCCTTTTTTTTTTTTTTTTTCCAGCATTTGGTAAATCCTTTAAATTACTGAAGAGAGCCACATGTGCCGCTTGTTGGCATGAAATGTGTTTGATTTAATAGAGTTTTCCAAAACATTAGCTTTCCTCAAGTGGAAAATCTTTTTAATGAGAAGTGCACAAAACACTGTAAATAGCCATTAGACATACTTTAACAGCTCCCACATGTTTACTGTGTTTATGAGGGGTGTGTCTGAGAGAGAAGTTTCTTGGACCTGTTTCTGCTTAAGGAGAAGCTGAGGAAGACCACCTCAGCTATTCCTTCAGAATATTTAGTCTTAAATATGTTATTTTGATGACTGACCAAGCCGAAACTGTGTAAGTTCAGCTTTGCTGCTGTGGACAAAAAGATGAATGACAATTTTGTGTGCCTCCCTCTGACAAACGCCCAAGTGCCCTGTCATCTGTTACAGTACATCAGACTTTCCCTCTGCTGCAGAGCTGTGCAGCCCCGTTTCCATCCCCTACTAATATTGGTTGGAGGCTGTAATGAGAATTATATGCAGTCGTCAGGTAGCTCCAGATCCCATATTATCAAAACTCTATTTTACTCACCTTAAAAAAATCTCTTAGAAATGAATTTCTTAGAAATGTTGAAAGATAGATTATTTTTCCTCTGTTCTTCTATGGAGGTCCTTCCTTTGTGCCGTGTAATTATTGCTCTAAACTCCATTAGATGTCTGATGTGTGTTTAATGAATGTTGGTGAAGCATCAGTTAAGTTAATTGCAGATCATTGAGGTAATTTTAGTCATTTAGAAAACCCCAGATTTCCAACTGTTATGAGTGTCGGGGGAATTTGACTGAGGACTTAGTGAGCAGACAGAGCTGTGGTTAGCCTCAAATAGAGCCCTGCTGCAGGGCGACTTTTATGGGATTTTCTTACAGTAATGATGCTCATCATCAGGTGTCAGATTATTGTTTTAGTGAGCTGAAGTTTCTTTTATGTTTTTCCTTCTCTTTTATAACAAAGACCCGTACAAACTGTGCCTCAGCTTAGTGTGGAGTCTTCTGTCTCCAGCTGACTGCCACCTGTTAAATAATATGTTCTCTATTTGTTTCTTTAACCAGCAGAAATTGCTTTGTTACGATGGTACACGACAGCTGCATTATAAACCTGCTGCTATTATTAACTAAGTACCAATAAACTATGCTTTAATCACAGTTAAAAGAAACATAATGAAAAGGTATTTCTATTCCCTGTATCACACACTTACACATAACACTTTATTCTTCTGTACATGTGATTCAGTAAACATGTTTAGTATATGTTTGTATGTTTTCTAACCCACTGTTAATATCATGGTTCAGTTCTACTATTCAAATAGTAAAAGACAAACATCTGATGCAATAAATAACAATTTCTAATGCATTTTTTCTGCGCTGGTGTCAAAAATGAACAATTCACGAAGTCTTGGGACCGGCAACTGGTACACATTACTGTTAATAACAGCTTAATGGCTGTTTTTAATGCACCGTATAGACCAGATAGAGAATGGTGACTCACTTACAGCTGACTTCACTAAGGTACATGACTACAAAGGTCAAGAAAACACAGAAGAAAACACAGGTTTATTGTTGGGACTTTGGTCCTTTTCTTTCCACTGCAGGTTAACTTGGGGAGAGTTCCTCATTACAAAGCTGACTACAGACGTAGACGCCATGATCCGGTATGCAAGTTAAAGATCTCTTAAAATAGTTATTGGAATATACTTGAACTCTAATTAATTTAATGTCTTTTTATGTACAGAATTTCTTTCATATTCAGCGTTTTGCTGATATTCAGTGCTAATGCAAAGCCAATGGTAAGTATATATGGGTGCTGTTCAGATCAAATGATAAAAACTTTTAAGAGTTTTTTTTTTTGGTGATAGATGACTAATATTTGCTCTCCTCTTCAGAAAAAAATGTCAGACGAACTCTTGAAGAAAATGGTTGTGTAAGTTGACATTTTCTCTAATTAAAGGTATGATTATGTGGACTCCTAGGATGAAGGCTGAGAATGCATTTTTTTTAAATCACAGGTCCCTTGATGAAAAAGGGAAAATGGCCTGGGGAGCTGAGGTGGAGCCTCCAGAGGACATGGATGGTATTCATTATGAGATTGACCCCAGTATGAAGATCTGGAAAAACATGAAGATCAGCGAACATCACCTGAAGCCTGAGGAGGATCTGGATGAGATGTACCATCCTTCAACTCTTGACCTTCAATCTCAGATCAGAAAATTTGAACAAAAAGCTGAAAAGAAGAATGAGCACCAGCATTCACCTGCAAAGATGGAGCAAATGAGGGAGGTGAGAATTCATCTTCAGCCTGAGGAAGACATGGATGACCTTCACCACAAAGATCTCCTCCTACCAGCACTTAAACCAGGCCTGGTTCGCGCTGCTGTTGATTTGCCATCTCAACGAAAGTACTTGAAGCCAGAGGAGGACCTGGATGATCTTTATCATAGAAAACTCCTCCTCCCAGTGGTTCAACAAGAGGTCCGTGAAGCTCCTGCTGTCCTTCCTTCTCAAAGGAAGTACACCAAGCCAGAGGAGGACCTGGATGATCTTTATCATAGAAAACTCCTCCTCCCAGTGGTTCAACAAGAGGTCCGTGAAGCTCCTGCTGTCCTTCCTTCTCAAAGGAAGTACACCAAGCCAGAGGAGGACCTGGATGATCTTTATCATAG